AACAATATCGGTCTGTGACTGTGATACAGACTGGGACAAGGTATGGACAACCAACAATTTGGACAACAGACCATTGTTTGGGTCTTTTAATTGTAAATATGATTAAAATAGCTTAACCTAGATTTCGATATCCTCGAATGTACATTTAGTTGAAACTGGAAAATATACATTTAACCCGAGACAAGAACGAATGTTTACATATAATTCAAAAGTATGACAGCTCGAGTATCCATTTTGTCTTTTGTCTTCTACCCGTCCCTACTAGACGAACAACTGGTCTCTGAAATGAACATATTTTACAGAAAAAAAGTTCATAGTAAAAAAGAGAAATATAATAAAAAGGAGCCCTGAGACATTCTCCTGAAGCTGTGGAAATCTAGACTTGCCACATTTTCTAGACTTGCGTGGACTTGGATATATTTGCTTCAGGGTCTGTATGACAGACTACGTCCCTACATACGCTCAATCACAAGTGTCTCCAGGTCACGGAGAATCATTGGTGTAGGGGCTCGTATTGTAATTCTCGTGCGTTTGCATGTGTTGTTGACGCGGCATGGACACCTTGTAACATCACTATTTGATTATGATTCACAAACACATGCTCATGATATGGTCGGAATCATGCCACGGATTAGCAGATATTTATCATGAAAACAGGTTCTTATGTAGGTGGCTTGAAACTTGCTTTTACAAAGGCCAATAGATTCGATCACAATACTTTTCGTTTTACAACTTCTTTTCTCTTAACATGCTGACCTCAAAACTGATTTAAATTCTAATCGCTGATTAAAGAGTAAGACAATAAATAGTATGCCAAATTATCGTTACCATGACAACCCTGTGATATTTCACTTATGTAAGAGAGTAATAAATACGATGCTAGGTATGGCAGTACTACTGCAGCTGATAGTGTCTGTCGTAAATTTTAATAAGTTGCTTCAACGCTATCACTAATCACTGGGTATGTGTAGACAATTATATGTGTGATGGAGGAGATCTTGCGTCGCTAGTTTTCTCAATAATCTGAATACATGTATGTAGCGTGAAACCGGCGGATACCTATAGAAAAAAGTGTTTGCCCTACCTGTAACAACGATGTCCTTTGTATGTAGAAGGGATATAATATGGGGATGAATGGCATGTACTTTTATCTTGGCCCGTTTATGAAGATAAATACTGCGATCTTTCACAATAATCTCTCTGGCTATCAGATTGAGGGTACTTTTTAAACATAACTGGTATTTCAATTATTGTATTTATACAGTAACATTCTTCAAACGTTCTCCACATACGTCCGTCAGATACATCGCACACTACCCCTTTCTCTTTTGATCTCTCAAACGACTGTTACAAGTTCGGAGAATCCTGGTCAAAGTTGAAACGTCTTAAGACTATTCCCTACTATTCTGTAACATGCACATTGTACCTAAAATGGGTAGAGCTTCCGTTCGGGGGAATATCAGAAGGACAGCGATACACTTGTCTCCAATGGTGCAGAAGACACTCAACTTACTTAGGAAAACAATAACCAAATGAGATATTGCATTCATGTCGGATTCAATTTTTTCGGCCCCTATCAGATGTGAACTTGAACATGCAAGGTCTGCGTCTATGTCAGACTAAAGGTCTACGAGTTGTTTAGCAGCACTGGGGCGTAATAGTCATATAGGCCTGCTCCAAACAACGGAATATATATCTTTTGAGAAGGACTTCTCCGACGGGTAAAGGTACAGCAATGCAACATTACGAAAAAAAATGTTTTTCACTATTTTTCATTTCATGTCTCACAGAATATATAATTTGATGGGCGAGAGTTTTTAATATCGTTCTAACTTAGTCGAATTAAGTCAAAATGAGCTGAAATTTGTGTCATGATGCTTATAAACATACACTCATTCATTTACAACCTCCAAAACATGAATTCTGAGCGAAATTAAACATTCTCGCCCATGGGCCAACATATTTTTCGCCCATGGGCGAGATTTTTTAATATCACCCAAAGTTAGTCGAATTAAGTCAAAATGAGTTGAATTTTGTGTCATGATGCTTATAAACATACACTCATTCATTTACAACCTCCAGAACATGAATTCTGAGCAAACTTAAACATTCTCGCCCATGGGCCGGCCCATGGGCGAGCGAGTTTAAATCTAAAGTTTTCCCCAAAAAATTTTCATCCTTGGCATATATTCATAACAACTGGTTTAATTTGGTCAAATCACTTGTCAGAAAGTACCCACAGTGCGGAGAGTTTCTGGACTTTTGTGAGTCCAGAATTAAATTGTGACGTGTTAATGACATTTGTTATACTGTTAACACAGCGATGGCTAACAGGTGGCAAAGTCTTGCCGCCATCAGTAACATTTGAAACAGATACAAAATATTCATTTAATGTTTGAGCTTTATCCAAATCTGTAAAAACTGAAGGTATCCCAGAATCATCAGTGACAAGAAGGGGAGTGGGCCCCGATGAAGTACTAACCACCTGATTGAGTAGACTGAGGTGATAAATAGTTATCAAAATTGGAATAAAAGTTTCCCTTGGCTATTCTTTTCAGATTATTTACTTTATTCCTTTGCTTTTTGTATTTAAATAGCTCAGAAGTATTCAGAGATCGAAATGCTTTTTCCTTAGACGTTCTCATTTCTTTTAAGTATGTTACGAGGGGCGTTGAAAAAGTAGTCAAACTAACTATATTCTCGATGTCCAATGTTTGAAAAGAAGCTTCCATTTTATTTTGAAGGAATCATTAGCAAAGTCATATCCAAAATTTCATGTGGGTAATGTGGTTAACGAGATATTAGTCATCACAACATTGGGGTATTATGTTTCTTGCAAATTTGCAGAAAATGGAAAACGATCTCCCATTTGGTATCTAGTAATAGTAATAGTCCGCTTATATGGCGCTCACATCCAGGCACATTGCCTGCTCACGGCGCTACGTACATTACTATCCCCGATCATAGGACACTATCGTAGTTTCCGATACTTTTTCAACTCCCTGGGGACTGTACAGCCATGCTGCATGTTAGGCGCAATGAACTAAACACTCACATTGCCAGCACATACTCACGGGTACCCATTTTACAGCTGGGTGAACTGAGACAGTGTAGATCTAAGTATCATGTCCAAGGATACTACGCAAATGTGCCCATCTCGGGAACCGAACCTCGGTGCCTCCTCGAAACAGGGCCTTCAGCGTGATAGGCAGACGCCTTACAACTGCACTATTGCGCTATCTCTTGGATAATGGTATACCCTCAGATAGTATCATATAAAATATGTTCAGCATAGTACTGGATGACTTCCCGTCATCATCAACATTCAAATATTTGGATTGCTTGATTTACATTTAGACGGGGACTGTTTTTTTAGGACACCCTCATTTTAAATTTTCAAAAACATTGTGTCCAGATATACAACATATTGAGAGCTGACACTTGTGTGACCATTCAGTATTTAGTTTGAACCCTTGACACCATGTATGAATAAGTGAAAACTTTAGGATGAGTTATATCCTTATGATGACGTCAACTGAAAGGGGGTGGGTACTGTCTCCAAAACAAGCCCTTTCAGTAAACATGAAGGGGGAGTCACTTGAACAAGCGATTATAGTTTAAAATTGCCTTTTTGTGCAGTTTAATATCTATGTTTGACTTTTACCAACATACAACATGTTTTTTGCATATTTTGTTTCAATTGGTGTAGGGGGATTCCCGCCAATACACCTTGATATAAAATTGGATCAAAATCTATTAATACTTTCCTGAGTTCGCGGCTACCAAGCTTGGCATGTGCAAAACTGTTACACCTTCGCTGTGACCTTTAAAATGACCTCAAGGTCACTAAATTCAAGTGGTGTCGGTAAATCTCGTCAATAAACCTTGGTACCAAATTTGAACAAAATCCATCATTTCTTTCTCGAGTTCTTTCAGTAAACCGAAGGGGGAGTCATTTGAACAAGCGATTGTAGTTTCAAAATGCCTGTTTGTGAAGTTTAATATCTATGTTTGATTCTAGCCGACCTCTACCAATCTCAAACATACAAAAATGTTTCTTGCATATTTTGTTTCCTGAAGTTTAATTTGTGATGCATTCCATTGCTAGTCAGCTAGGCTATTCCATTTGTCCGAACCACAACATACGGAGACAGATCATTTAGCAGACCGGGTGCTGTACTCTGGAATTGATTACCTGAAAATGTCAGAAAACGGAAAATATCAACAGTTTCCGATCTTGTTGCAAAACCATCCTCTTCAAACGAGCATTCGACTAAGCGCACATGAGCAGGACTCTGGATATGTAGCGCTATACAAATGTCTAATTTGATTTGATTTGATTTGATATACCCGTTAGAAACCCACCCCAACCCCACCCCACTTTATATTTATACATATCAAAACCTTACAAGATATTTGCGAAAAGACATGATACAGAGGACAGTAAGAGATTTTATATCGATTATATATCAGGACGAATATCATTTCGTCATTTGGCTAAGATTTGTCAGTTCTTTCTTGGGTTATCGCGCTAACAATCTTTATATTGGCAAAACCCTCAGATTTTGCTGTGACCTTGAAAATTATCTCAAGGTCACTCCATTTCACTTGTGTCGGTGAATCTCGCCAATATACCTTGGTACCAAATTTGAACAAAATCCATCATTTCTTTCTTGAGTTATCGCCCTAACAAGCTTATTTGATGTATGAAATGCAACGAAAAACAAACACCCGCGTATTTACGAGTGATTAAAACTGTTATTACAATTTACGTAAATATTTATTACATTTTACCGCAACGAAAATTATTACAATTTACGTCAATTTTATTACAATTTGCGTATTACAATTTACGTCAATTTTATTACAATTTACGTTTTATTACAATTTACGTCAAGTTTATTACAATTTGCTGCAAGTATTACAATTTGCGTTTTATTACAATTTACGTCGTAACAGTTCAAAGGTTTCTAAAGACACAATGCACAAGTATAACTCACTTCACACAATCTGTGACCATGGAGGCGTAGATGACATCAGAGTCGGACAGGGTGCCATGGGCGGTGTTGGGCCACACGTACAGAATACCCGTAGACCGGTCTAGGTAGACTTCTCCCTGAAGCAGACACCAGGAAGGATTTGTATAGTCTGTGTCAGCATTATGTCCCCGTTTCTGCAATGCTAAAGTCCTAAATGAAGCAAGTCTAGATTTTCTCAGGTTCTCCCATCTTACTGGGGCTCGTTTTCATTTAAGGGCACCATTTGTTTCTATCAAAAGTATGTATATTCAGATACCATGCATGTGTCATACGTATTGCTGTGGGATTTTTTGGGGGCGTCAAATTTGGAAATTTATTCCACATGTCTACCAAGAAACCCTTTGAAAGCTTTACTCAGTCTCTGAACAGTCACTGTACATACCCGATATCAACATCCTACTGATTGATTCAACACTATCATTATATTGACGTTTATTTATTTTATTCATGTAACTTGTGTTAGTCTGAGCAAGCAGTATAACTTGTGGGGCTGCTTTCAAGATTATATAACATATGTAATATTTGGGATTACCCTTTCTTATTAAAGTACAAATTCTACTACTTTTGGGGTTGAGTCCCGTCCGGGATTCGAACCCACACCCTCTGCAGAGCCAGGCACCTAATCGCCAGCACACAAAGTCAGCCGCCAAACCCGCTCAGCCACCGCGACTTCCAACAGAAGATAGTGTAATCCCAAATATAACATATGTTACATTTGACCACTTTCTAAAATGGCATTGTGTAATCTCTTCAATTTTTTGTTGCCAAAACATCGGACTTACTTTGAGTGCACTCAGCAATATTTCAGCAGTCTGTAAATATTCGAGTCTGGACCAGACAATCCAGTGATCAACATCATGAGCATTGTTCTACACAATTGGGATACGATGACGTGTCAACCAAGTCAGCGAGCCTGACCACCCGATCCCGTTAGTCACCTCACGACAAGCACGGGTTGCTGAAGACCAATTCTAACCCGGATCTTCACGGGTCGACATACTTTGAAATATTATCTGATTAAACAGAATTACTGTATCTTCGGTATATTTCAATTACGAGATGTTTCTAATAAAAACAATTATTCCTGAAAAACCTTTGATGGAAGTACTTGAAGTCATACGCACATTCCAATTTATCTTTGCACATACAATTCTTATGAGCCTTCTTGTAGGGCAGGTATAGGGGTGAGTGGTGACGAATGAATGTAAACTCTCACCGGCTGATCTAGTTCCGACAACATGTTGAACACCCGGAAGTAGCCGCCTTGGCTGGAGAAACTTTGAAGTTTAGCATCATTGTAGTGGCCTGAAATTGTGGAACGGAGCCTAAATATCCCATATAAGCCAAACCGGCACAGTGTTTTTGCCAATTATATGAGGATTTCGGTTGGTATTTCTTTTATATACTAATGCCAATAATGGTTGTCACCCCTCTACCCGCCCCCACCCCAACCCCACACCCACCCCACACCCCTCTCCAACACAAAAAATTGAAGGGGGTGACAACCATTATTGGCATGAGTATATCTTATCATTCATCCATCTGCTTTTGAAGGCGGTTACGTTATGATGTTATGTTATGAGATAAAAAACCAGGAGGGAGTAAGTGAGTATGGTTTTACAGCGCTTTTAGCAATATTCCAGCAGTATCACGGTGGAGGACATCAGGAATGACCTTCACACATTTTACCCAAGTGGGGAATCGAACCCGGGCCTTCGGCGTGACCAGCGAACGATTTAACCAGTAGGCTGCCCCACCGGTCCAATGACCAGGAGAAATGGGGACTCCCATATCATTTAGAATAGAACTGCCGGATATGTTCTGTCTGTTTTTTAAAATATTGTTATTAATATGATATATTAATGATAGGAATGGTACTGATGTGATTGTTTCTCACTTAATCATGGACTCAGAAAAATACAGTTCGTGGGTCTGAACAAGACAATCCAGTGACTGACATCATGAGCATAGATCTAACCCGGATATCATGGGATATACTGATATGAAGACAGACAATTGTGAAATTATAACGCGCACCAATTCGCAGTCCATATCGGGTTTGGCTCGCCAGGGTGATCTGATGTTTCTGAGCGTCTATTTTAGATATTTTCACAGCGTCATCAGCCCAGCTCCAGTACCTGATATATGAAATCATCACATATAACGGTAAAGATGCATAATGTGAGAAGAAAGCTTCCAGTATTTTGTATAGATCATTTTTCAGTTTATACAACACGTCTGATAAACATTTAACATATTTGTTCAGAGAACCTCTGAAGTTGGACATCGTACATCCAATGTGTGAATTTGCCTATTTAAAAAAAATGTACAGCGTTTATATAAAATTCATTTTTGATTCAGAGATACATATAGTCATGGACTTCGATCAGGTCTGAGCCAAATCCATTGGGAGGAGATATAACACGCAGTAATTAAATATCTGTCTTGAGCACCAGCAAAGTCAAGAAGATTTTAATACTCGCTCATGTCATGAAATGAGCAATTGATCTGTTCATTTCATGAAATGGACAATTTCAAAGAATGGGTGTAACAAATATACAAATATTAGGCCAGGATAGACATTAGAGTAAAAAAAGGAACCCAATTAAACAGAAATAATAATATATTGCTTAACATGTGCTTGACTTTTGAAAGAAATGTCTTGAAAATTCATTATTTGATATATATTGTAAAATTCAACAGTAAAAATGAATGAATGTGGACATGACATGTACATAAATGTTTCTTCCTACCAGTATCCAAGAGCCCACGGTTCTTTCTCGTGTATCCATCGTGCGTCCTCCCTGGAGCCGTGTGTGAAGATGGTGCCGGTCTTGCTGCTGAACGCGGTGACGTCTATATACCCCTGCAAGTAACCATGTCAACTATGGCAGCATGACACATGTTGTTCGGTTAACACTAACGATCAATTATAATTATAGCATTGGACTTAAGTTCAAGTAACAGTAAATTGAAAGACGCCCTTGTACAAAAAGTTTCAACCCATCGTGATCGTATTTGCATCATGGATATGCTTTCAAAGAGCCCTCACACATGTTCATTACCATGACAACCGTTATGAGAAAACATCATTCCTTTTTAAGATTGCCTCTTCTTCCCATGCATCCATTTCAGCGACGTCTGTTGGTGGAAATAGTACAATCGTAGGGGAGAACTCATCATTCTTGTACAGAAGCTGTCCTTGTACAGAAAGTTTCAATCCATCGTAATCGTATGTTTAACATGGGCATGCTGGCATAGAACAGGGCCCGTAAGTAGCTAGTCACGGCACTTAGCGAGACCTTACGATGTTTTGTACTTCCGGTGACAAACAACGTTTCATACCTTTTGGAATGGTCTCATATATATAGTTGTCAGTTGACAGTAAGAAACCAATAATCCTTGCAGGAATAACACACTTCCGATGTAACCATCAACTACATAAGCCATCTATTACGACTGTCAACAGCTGTGACAGCCAAGCATGGTTGTACACTTGGTCCGGTCTAGTAAAGTCATATTTGGCGGTCGCGTAATTTGTCCCGAACAAGTTCTTGAAGATACGCTTGTCACCGGAAATCTGGTACCGGAAGTAATCTGGGCCCCGTCTTGCATATCGCAAGTTAGCGCGCGCAAAAGGAACCGGGAACCAGCTTAGTACCGGAAGTAGCGCCTCGCGAGACTTACAGGCCCTATCCTCAGACATTCACAGTACAATGATCACCATTATGTGAAAACATCGTTTTTAAGATGGCCTATTCATCCCAAACATCCGTTTTAGCGACGCTTCGGTTTCTCTATGTCGTCTGTAAGAGGGAAGAAGAACTCTTCATTGTTAATGGGAAGGCGTATGCTTCTTGGACAACGCACTTCGCTATCACGTTTTCCCCTTATGTGCAAACGCAGGATACGTCACGTTGAAGCTGGATTATTCCTGATAACAAGTTCTGCATATTGTAGCAGACTTTCTGGAACAGTATGATAAATCAGTACTGGTATGGCCGTTTGTTTCCCCAGGCTGTTCCATCAACAGTGAATTATGTGATGAAATAAAAGGACGCATGTCAGAGGCCTAGCCGGTATCGCTGTATCAGGTGGGCCAATCTTCAGTTGGCATTTGGAAAATGTGCATTCAGTGCACGCCTTCATCAACGCCAGTGGTGGTGGTAACTTACGATATTGAAGTCGTTGATGGAGTTGTGAATCACCCCCACATATCTCCTGGTACCACGTATGTGTTTTGTTAACGTGTGTGCTTTGTAATGATAAAACATTTATTAGAATGACCAAAACTGTTATATACAATGTTATTATCAATAACATAACATTGGCACCGCATTATATTAAGCACAGTTACGGTTTTGCCAACAACATTCCCACTCCTAAAACAACGCATTTGTCTTTAGGTTCAGTATTCAGGGAGTTTCGCAAAAGGCTTGTTGCTATCTGACAACACAAGGAGTTTATTAGGTTTGAATGATGAAGTCTTGACTGGCCTACCTCATTCGGGTATCTAGCCAGACGTGTTGGGTTCCCGTTGATAAACAATTCCAGCCAGGAAATCTTGGTCCTGTAGAAACCAAATTGGGTGATTTTGCCATAGTCGGATATTCCAGCGTCTGAGAGCTTGACCTGCAGAACCTGGGAAGTACATGGTGTCAGTTGTCAGTGTTCTCGTGTTGCCAATGGATTATAAGTTACCTACGAATTATATTTTCTGGAAAAGTGAAACAAACTTGGTCGATATTATTTGATAACTTATTACAAAGCTTTTAGGAATATGAATAACGTACGAACTCAAACAGTCATTTGAGAGTTTCTGAAAAAGTTAAACAAACTGGATTGATATTATTCATTAACTAAATATTGAACTTAAACACAATCCGTTCTGCATATATTCATGAAACGCTTTCCAGACTAGTAAAGTTATATTTTGGTACATTGTTAGGTGATAATATCATATTATGGTAAGTAAGGAACAAAGGGCGAGAAAATAATATATCCCGCAAACTCAGGACATAAGCTTCTTATTGTTATGTGGCATTGGTATTCATTGTGTAACAATGTTGCAAGTGTAATGTACTAGGTGTAATTAGTAAAGGATCAAATGATGTATAGCACATGTAAAGAAAACGTGTCTCAGAAATATAGAACTAAGAGTGTCATCATAATGTTTAATGTGTTAACAAACGTGACACATCGTGACATTCAGACAAAATGTTCAAACAGCACAAGCAAACATCAGTTGTATAGAACAACCCCCCAAAATGAAAATGACAAACATGCAGCAGTCGGTCATTCAACATCTTGTGTACCCTCCTCGTGAGTCCAGGACACATGTGCACCTTGATGCAAATCACTGACATTAAGTGGCAGGTGGATTTCAATACTGACAATCTGAATACAACATGTCCCATTTGTAACACTGACTGACTGAGTTTTGGTTTTACGCCGCTTTTAGCAATATTCCAGCAACATCACGGCGGGAGACACCAGAAATGGGCTTCACACATTGTACCCATGTGGGGATTCGAACCCGGGTCTTTGGCGTGACGAGCCAACGCTTTAACCACTAGGCTACCCCACCGCCCTCCATTTGTAACAGAATGTATCGGAAAGTTAAAGAACGCAATAATGACGGCCTGGTGTGTTTTTTTCATACTGTTAAGAACGTTTGTAAAACATTCAGTTTATATCTTTAAAAAAAAAACGTAGACTTTTACAACTTTTAAGAAATAGTATTACCAATAGCTTGACCTTTCATTAATGACGCCGAGTATATACGTTGAACATGTGATAGTTAGTAATGGGCAGTGAGGTTCTGGGAAGTACTACACGATGCTGATCCCAGGATCTACTGTTTCAGGGAGTACTGTAGACGTTTTAGACGTATTCTTGTGGGAGCTGACAGTTGCTTCTCATCTCACATGACCTCTCACGTTATCAGAATATCGGCATTGTGTGTAATGAGCATTATAGCCTCATATTTGCAAGTTGGATTACTGTTGTGAGAGGTAAATATAACCATCATGTCTTTATAACCACTGCTACAGTTTCAACTAGATTTTGACAGAAAGTTGCATTTGGATTACTGTTGCTGAGAGGTAAATATAACCATCATCGAATTGATTGGTATAATCGCTGGTCGTGTATTACCTTACCTTTAAATTTGTACTGCCACTCTAATTTGTACTGCGCATATGGAAAATGTTTAAATATTCAAAGTACCTTGCGGCGTTAAAAAAACAACCAATCAACCAACCTTGCCTCGGGCATTCTGCGGCAACATCTGAAGAACAGAGTTATACGTGACTTTGTTGAACAGAGACGCTTCAATCCGCTTCCCGCCCGTCTATGCCGCCAGAACATGAGAGAAAAGATTTGAAATATAATCTTACACACGGAGTTATATCAATTTAACAATGTATAGGTTATACTTCTTATTTAAGAAATAATTACTACAACGGGTAAAATACTGCAGGGATCTGTTAGTTTTTAAAAATGGTTGCGTAAAACGTCTGCCGGAAGGGAGAAGATTGTACTCTTTGTTGAGGTACTGAAAGCTCCCTAAGGCAGTTCTCTGTGCTTTCTTTGTTCCTCTTTCCTCGTGCTGTACACTTAGATTATCAAATTCAATATTGCATATTTTTCTCGCTGAAAGGAGAGTTGTGCTAAATTTGTTTTTGTTTACTATAGACAGGATTGCATACCAAGCATGAAAACAGAACGTTAAAACTCTTTGAATAAAGCAGTCAAAATAAGGATAAAATGTTGACACTGACATGGAAAGAACGAAGTTTTCCTGTAGACATAAAAGTCTTAGCTGACTTTAAGCATAAATGCACCTAGTGTTTATATTCCAGGTAAGTTTAGAGTCTATATTAAGTCTTTCGAGATATTTGTATTCATAAACATATTTACAGGTGCAATATCAATGTACACAGGCTGTATCATTGTTTTCGGGGATCTGTAACCTTCTCATTTGTATTCTTAACCTTCTTAATCTCAAGCCGACAATGTTTCTTTCGAGCTGGTATAGTCCCGTAACTGGGGAAGATCCAGTGGAGTCATGGGCACTGTCGTCGTTATATGAAATAAACAATATCGGTGATAAAACACAACCTTGGGGAGCTACTGTATTGGTATACCAGGTTATCCCTGACTCACCACGTGCAAATCGTCGTTGGTGTATAACGTGAACAATAACGGTGATAACACACAACCTTGGGGAGCTCCTGTATTGGTATTCCAAGTTACCCCTGACTCACCACGTGCACCTCCTGGTCATTGTAGGCCCTGAAGGTGACCGGTGCTGTGTATTTGTGTGTGAAGTGGAGACTGGACGGCAGATCATAGTATCCCTTCATCAGCTCAACATAGATGGCTGAAATCGATACAGATTATAAATATTAATAAAAGAATAAATGGGGTTATGTTTTGCATTTAGATGCATTTATATTTTTCACCCGATCTTGTACTTTATAAGGGACAAATTAACAAATTCGATGTTAGATAAAAATCTTAATTGATTATGTTGATTAGTTTTCCATGTGACAAAATCAACTTACTTTACTTGTCAATGTTATATCTAAAAAATAAACTAGGCAAACTCATACCATTCCATAGTCTGAATGTTTTAATAACATATACAATGCCTGAAAAGAATGCCAATATTCACTGGGGTGTGATTCATGGATTGCATTCTTGACGTTTTCCCATCCAAAGAGTGACCTTTTCTATACTGATTTGTCATTCCTCGTCTACACATTCCTGAATTTTCTTCATGTTACATGAAAACGTTTGGCTTAGTTCTGAAATACCTTCTTCATTCTCCATAGGAGTATGTTATTGAATATTTCAAAGAATTCAACGTTTTTAGAATCATGGTTGTTTTTGTATCCTATTTTTCAACCGGACATTAAACACATGACAATGCCATTTTATGTGAAATACAAAAACAAACAAACCGTAGTTGCAGATTCGGGAGTCTGAGGCGGCAAATCTTCATCTATGTCTAGTGAGTGATAATGATCATAGTTTAAAGAAATTCTTCTACATTTTAACGTTTAACTGTGTACTGAGTGACTACTTACTATTGCCACGGATGCCTGACTCATCAATTTTCGACTTGGCTTTGTCCAAAGTCTTCAGAGGGTGGCTAACGTCAAGTCTATTGAAAACAGCACCTCAATGACATTATGTAAGCAGTAGGACACAAGCACTGAAAACATCAATGACATTACACAAATTATCTCACGTTATCTAAACCAACACTATTAACACCTTTACATGGCGCACCATACTAACGACATGTCCCGACTGGAATATGGCAGGGGGTTGGCATATCGATGATCCCATATTGTTCAATAACCATAAATACCCATCCGGCGATTAACCCACCTGAACTAGACCTGAAGCAGACCAGGGAGATCGCCTCGTCTGTTTCATATTTAAACAATGATTCAGTGTTATAAAACACTGTATGACAAGAAGGATGTCTTCAACTATCCATTTCACATTTTTTCTTTACTATGGAACAATATTCCAACAGCTCCAGCAATTGGTGTTTACATTTCAGAACTTTTGAGGAACAGAGTTGATAGAGCGACATACGAATCCCATTCCCGTTGTTAGATAAAGGGTTCAACGTTCAAGGCCTCATTGAAGCTTTCAGAATCTCTTAATGTTAAAATGTGATGAAATTGGCGCATAAGGGACTTGTGATGCCCCATGCAAATAATATTTTGACTTGTACAATATATTCGTTTGTGTTCCAAGTGAGCACTTGACTTGCCTTGTGTGTGTCGATGCTAACAGTAGGTTTGGATACTCTCACCCAGTATCATCACTATTTGATATCAATTTATTCATTCGCATGATCGACTCAGATTCATACAGAGATTCGTGCTTATAGGAGTGAGTGAGTTTAGTTTTACGCCACACTCAGCAATATTCCAGCTATATGGCGGCGGTCTGTAAATAATCAAGTCTGAACCAGACAATCCAGTGATCAACAGTATGAACATCGATCTGCGCAATTGGGAACCGATGACATGTGTCAACCAAATCAGCGAGTCTGACCACCCGATCCCGTTAGTCGCCTCTTACGACAAGCATAGTCGCCTTTTGTGGTAAGCATGGGTTGCTGAAGGCCTATTCTATCCCGGATCTTCACGGGTTTGTGCTTATAGGATGGGGCTTATTGCTTTTAGTACTAAGGACGGTATTTATAGCCAGTCTTAGAACGCTGATAGGAAAAGAGAGGTACATTCTATTTGACACATCTGAATGAGGCAAGTGTTCATTATGGCCCGATCCATGTCAGTAAACGAAACTGTATAGTCATGTTGAGTATATCAGCATCAAAGTAGGAACATAAGATACAGAACATGAATGGCAACAAATTATTGATTTTCGTTGAATATCGCCTCAGAACGCTACAATTATATTAATAACAATGAACCAGTGTACACATAATAAAAAGACCTCGCAATACTCCGACAAAGAAGCTGGCTAGAAGGCACCACTGTGTCTCATTTTAAATGCAGAATGAAGTAATATGAAGGCTGATAAGCATACAACATACATGTCCTTTTGTTGCTTTGCATATGGAAATGTGTTTCCTATCCACCATTGTTTGTACGTTATACACGCCATCCCATCATACCATGCACCTACCCTGAGTTTGAATCCGAGCCACCCGGACTGACGTACACATGCACAGTATTGGCCCAAACAAACCCGAACATTAAACAAGGGAACAAGATCCTTTGAAACAACATGGCGCCACAAGATCAGATTTTTAACTGACTCAGATCTTATCTTTAGCTGATACTGTCAAGGTTTGTGGGAAATGTCACATGTCTCATCTAGTTCGTACTTCCTAACATAGACCCGTAAATCATTGTTCCCATGCGCCATTCATCATGAGCCGTATGTGCTTAAATAGACACCTGTCATAACTACTTGAAAGTGATTTCTGAACACGTTTATTGCATAGCCTGTGTCCCGATTCAGACAGCGTTTGTAGCGCTAAGACATTCGTTGGCCCATAGTAAACTATAAAGTAACGACATGTCGTAACGTTACGAACGCTTTGTGGATCGAGACATTCGTTAGCCAAACGTACACTATAAATTTACGACATGTCAAACGTTACAAACGCTTTGAGATGCAAGTTTATATTTTGATACAAGTTAAATGAAATGCCAGTTTTGCATGTGTCAGTTGTTTGCATGGCCCGTGACGACCCGGGTAAGAACACATCCTCAGGAACCCATGCTTGTAGTAAAACATGACTAACCTGATCGGGTGGTAAGGTTCACTGACTTGGCTGATGCATGTCGTCGTATCCCTATTGCGTAGATCGATGCTCATAATGTCTATCACTGGATTGCTTGGTACAGACTCGATTATTTACAGAAAGACGGAAAAATGCTGGAAAACTGAGTTGGTGGGGCTTTAAGGATCAAACAAACAACGAATTCAATTTTACAATAACTATACATTAACAGATATTACTTATACAGTAGAAGACATAATTTCAGGATCGATTGTAGCATTCATAAAGTAGTATGGTGGAGTAAAACAACCTGCCTTGTCAAGTGTCAAAAAGGTCTCATTTTAAGCTGCAAACAGGTAACTGAACAGTGAACGACAGTGAAAAAGCATTATTTGCATGTGTAGTGTCCTCCACTTTCCATGGATAGAGTGGCTTGCACGTGTAAATCATTGACATTAAGTACACTTGGTCTATGGTTCAAACACCTGTGTGGCTTGATTGTGTAGATGTGTGTGACCTTGTACTAACCTCATGACCCAGAGGCAGAACCTTCGGGAAGGTATAATCCGTTTTTTCTGATTTCCTGCTTGTTTATAAAAACCTAGATTTTAAGGATAGTGTATCAGTTCGACTCTAACTGTCATCATGAATACTTTCGTCAACATGGCCTCACAGTCAAGGACATTGCTCTGACGTTGGCAATCTCCACAACAACATGATGGCTCAAAGCGACTTATACAAGGCCAACTACATTGATCTTCAAGACAGGATCCGTGTGATGGAACGAAAGCTGCCATTGATCACACGCAAGTTCGCAGGTATTTGTCCTAAAAGAGAAACACTGTATGGGTTGATGGGCCGTTTCTGTGAGTTGACTTAGGAAGACTGTTACTAGATGTCTTATCACCAAGACCACTTACAACTCCTGTGTGCCAACGCTAATAACTCTGTTCGCTTGTTACGAAGAGGTGTCAACGATGTGTGTGCAGCAGAAAATACAGGGGAGGCATTCCTGAACAAGCTCCTTGTGAGCAATGATGTGTTGTACATCAAGCTGCTGGACAAACTGCAGGTGAAACTCTGGGATCACCCGCCCAGCTATGATCACCGATGTGCAACCTGCATGCTACCTTTGTTCTCCAAAGATCTAGAGGTCACAAATATGATGCCAAGGACCGTCCCTCGATAAAAGAATACCTCCCAAGGCACACTCTGCAACTACTGTTGTTTCATCTCAAAAGCAGCAGAAGAAGACGGCACCCACCAAGACATCGACCAAGAGTCCCAAAGCATTCAAGAAACAGTTAAAGATTGACGAGCTTGACTCAAAGATGTTTGGACCTCCAACGTTGTTCGACTTTGCTGATTTGTGGGAGAAGAAACAGCCCAAAATCCCAAGAGTCTCAAAGGGTCCACGAATCCCAAGAAACAGATGGAATTGCTGATTTGTGGGAGAACTATATATATATCAACCAGGTGTGCTATTAAAAAAAGCTGGAACTAACCCTGGCCAAGGAGCCAGTCCTGTTGAAGAGATACTCTATGAAGCCATACCTCAACAACAGAGGCCTCAGTTAGTGATGTCTGATATGCTACATGTATCTCTGTCTGCTGTGCCAGAGATGCCTACGTTTATAGACACAGAAGAGCAGAGGACTCCAAAATGACAGACGGCTCCCTATTGCCCAAATTTACTAACGTTAGGAAATATACGTTTCATCCGGCGGCCATATGAACAACGTTGGAAATCTACGTGTCATCTGGCTGTCAGATTTACACACGTTTAAAAGGGTGTTAAAAGTAACGAACACTCAACTCTGTATTTACATGTATTTCACAGGTGTGTAAATCTGGCCATTGTTTTCATGTGTTTTCTAGCATGTGTAACATATGTAAATGCTGTGATTGTAGGACATGCATTTTAATGCCTTTGAAATCTCGTATGACCAGGGTTAGGTTTGCCATATATTTAGTACACGCGTAAATGGTTTGTAATTGATAAATATAGTGTTACAAGAATAACACTACTTTAACATGTATTTCAATGGTTCTGTAATGTAACTTTCACATCGGGCTCGTTAGCGCGTCGGACCACGCCATAATGCACGGAGATCATTAGAAACACATGGCGAAGTGATACCCATGACTGAGCACCACTATTAACGTGCCTGCCTTTCTTGACATACACATGATGTCTGTTTAAAAGGTTCAAATATTGGGTCTATGGGCTGGAGCGATATGTATGTTAGGGAGTGTGTGCGTGTGCATGTGTGTGAGAGGGAGGGGTGTTTGATTGGGCAGGCCTAGGGTGGGATGATGGCGGTGGCGTACTGATAAGCCTTTCTGCAGCTGGTCAGTAGGTAATACCGTTTATACTTTTTGTAATGGAAATTACATTACAGTTTAAATAACTGATCTTAGGTACACTTCTTATATATAACATGCAAGGAGAGACTGCTTATTGCAATAAAACACAGACAGGTGTGTTCACACAGACATGAACCGGTAGGTCCCTAATTTTAGTGCACACTTGTATGAGTTATCAGACTGATCATAGCTGCACAAATCTTATTATCTATTCTTTCAAAAATGATGATTACAATGTATTAATAATTCCCAGTGTAAACTACTGTTTTAAATGTGTAAACATGCACATACGTACATGGTATAACCTCTTTTTTTATTCGGAATCTAGATATTATCCCATACGGACGTTTTCTAAAATGTCAGTTCCCCGACGGAATATACATAAGTGTACACCTATTTTGATTCCAGTTCTAGGGTAGATTATAGAAAATTCTTGTGATTACAATTAGTTCATAAGCTCAGGTTACTACGCAGTTTCGATAATTACTGGAAGTTTACCACCTGACAGCATTTGTTACTCAAAAAAATTGGGGGTTAAATACACTTTGAAAATTAGAAATGGTACATTTGTATGCCTGTAAAAAGTTTTTGGGTGTTAAACAAAACACTCCAAATATCATGATCTATGGAGAATGTGGCAGGTTTCCTTTACATATACACTCTTATTGTAAAGTAATTCGGTATTGGATAAGGTTAATACACATGCCAACATATCGCTTACCAAAGAAATGTTATAATATGATGCTTTTATATGATAGAAATGGACACAAAAACTGGATGACTGAGATAAAGCAATTATTATTTTCTACTGGATTTGGAGATATTTGGCATAACCAAGAAAATGGAATATATCCGGAATTCATCAAATCATTTACTCAAAGACTAAAAGATATGTATTTTCAAAACTGGCAAGAAAAATTATCTATGTCAAGCAAATGTGACACTTACCTAATGTTTAAAAACAATATCCATACCGAATTCTATCTATCATGTTTAAATGTAAAAAAGTATAGAGTAAGTTTAGCACGATTCCGATGCTCATCTCATGAACTTCTAATAGAGAAAGGTAGATATGTAAATATGGATAGAGAACATAGAACTTGTAAATTGTGCAATACAAATGCAATTGAAGACGAGTATCATTTTCTTCTTGTATGCCCTAACTACAGTAGTCTTCGAAGCAAATATATATAAGAGAAAAATATTATGTCCATCCAAACAGGCTTAAGTTTTCACTACTGCTGAACAGTTCAAATCCTAAAGAAATTGGAAAACCTGTCCATGTATATTTTCTACTCATTTGTACATAGAAAACATATTGTTCCTTGAACGTGTATAATGCAATGTATATGGTGTACTATAGGCCTGAGGCCTTTTCAGTACCGGAATAAATAAAGATACTCATGCGTTTTCATTTTTGCTTTTTGCTCTCTGATTTGTTATACATTACATAATTATGTTAATCATTTTGGCATCCCGATATCATGGAATAAATGTTTACTTATTAATCTATCAAAGTGCAAAGTGCCGAAACTTATTGTCTGTGTGCGTTACTGTTATTGAGTGAAACTGTTAAATGTACCTTCGTACAGAATTTCCAGGAAATAGAAACTGAAAATTGCTAAATAAATGGAAAACTAAATTTGGTACAGATTGCAGACAATTATTATTCATATACCAGTTTTAAAGTATCAGTGTGCAGATGTTCAATGGAAAAAAGACCAAGTAATTTGGAAGATTCACAGACTAACAGTATTTCTTTACAGTATTTTCTTACAGACATATATAGAAAATTATTTTTACGGGTATGGAACGAGTGGGGAAAAACATCTGCAAAGCATCTGAGTCAGCTGAGATTATCCTTTAAAAACATCATATGTACATTTAACAATTACTTATCATTAATTGCAATCAAAGCATTACATAAAGGCTATATTTCCAGACAGCATGACATCACCTTTGGCCGGAGTTCCAAATATTTGACACCGAAACCTGTCAGTTAACGCAAAGGAAATAACCCTTGTGTTTTACAATGATGCCTTAATCATCGTTCACAATGAAGTATAGGTTGCCATATTATTTCCAATATGACAATATGACTGAGTCAGTGAAATACTAATATTTACCAAATAAAATTGTAATGAAGC